ATATATTATAAAATTTAACTCCAAATTGCGATAATAACGTCTAATTGCAACGTGCGTGCGCGTGTACGTGTTGCGCCTTTGTGTGTGTGTGTTTTGCATTAATTTTTTTTTCTTTAATTCTCCCTTTCTCTCGCTCTCTCGCTTTCTCACTTTCTCTCCTCCATTCGTTTCGTATTTGTGTGTGTGTGTGTGTGTGTGTTTTTTTTTCCCTTATTTTGTCTCTTAAACCGTACCACGGTTATCTCCGACGTCTGTGTAATGTAACTGTTTCGCGTGTCCGTGTTCGTGTCGTATGCGCCTGTGTACGCGTGTACGTATGTATGCATTCGTGTAAATGCGTGTATTCGTGTGTACGTACGTATCGTATCTGTGTGTTACATGTCGTATGCGGTACCTGTGTTTTGTACGCTGTGTACACATGGGTGGGTCGGTGGTTGTGGGTGAACGATTACAGGTGGTAATGTATCTTGCACTCGCGCGTACGTGACTGTGTACGTGTTTTTCTTTATCTACAGTTAAACGAATTCTACGCACTTACTCGTTAATCGGCAGAATAATATGCATTTCTTAATTTCGCTATAAGTATATTTAAACCGTCCGAAAACGTGTCAGTCGGCGCACCGTGACGGATTCGCCATCGCTCTCGTCGAGCCTTCTCTCCGATCCCAATGTTCTTCCATCTCATTTCCCCCCCTTTATTTTTCCCCTTATTTCTCCCATTTTTCCTCTCCCGCCTGATTTTCGCCATACTTTTCACCTTCGCGTCATATAATTCGCGCACAATCATTTCTCGCTCTCTCTCTCTCTCTCTCTCTCTCTCTTTCTCTCTCACCTTCCTACCCTCCTGCTTCATCCCCCTTTTCATCACGTTTCGCTATATTCCTCGCGTGTCTGACGTCACGATACACGACGTCCTGTCTCAGAAAACACGTTTCCCTCCTCGACTTTCGAACAATCGATTTAATTCGTATACTTCTCCTTTGTTTGCACTCGACACGTCGCTCGACCCTCTCGAAGGATTCGAAGTGATGATTAAAAACCGAATAATCCCTTAAGCAGCGCGTCCTGGGGCAATGTAATTAAATGGTGAACGCGGTGAACGATAGAAACGTTGATGTAACGTGACGCTAATTGCTCTGCTTTCCTCGTTTTTCCTCTTTTTCTTTTTTTCCGTTTTTCTTTCTTCCCCCTGCTCGTTTCGCGGAATAGAAAAATTGCGCTCGATGTTCTCGCTCGGCGGACGACGAGTCGGACAATCGGGCCGCCACTTGAGGGATTAAGCGTCACGCTAAATTACAATAAAGAGAAGAGGATTTTGTTACGAGGCGCGGGCGATACTTTACGGTGTGAAGAAAACTTATCTATAAACTCTGTTTAAAGTCTATCAACTACGGTCACGCTACGCGGTCTGCTAAGCTGCGCTAAAAATGTGGGACACTTTATAACTGTAAAGTATCGACGACGCTCCCGGTGCGCTACGAAACTCGAACTTAGCGGCTTAAAAACACGGCTAACTCGACGTTCCCGAGCAATGGCGTTCGAGGAACGCGCAGAATGAACGACATAGTTGAATAATCGGCGCTCGGTCGGCCGCCATTTTGTCAGCGCCGCGACAAACGCGAAGTTTCCAAATGTTTATCGCCCGTGTCAGACTATTCGAGCACCGAGATTACCAAGAATTTATTCACCGTTCGATCGAATTGAACTATCGGTTGAGACTTCCGGATAACAAAAGTATTTCTGCTTTTCGGCTCGATATTTCGAATTTCACCTAACGAAGACTCGCGTCCTCGTCGAGATTGCTTCGTCGTCGCGAGGACCAAGAGAGTCCGTAAAATCACGATTTATTCAACTATACGACATCTGACTGCTCGATCGAGATCGATCGAGTCGCGAAGAACGTCGCAAACGCGACCAACTCACGGGGGAGCGCGATCCTCGAGGACGATTCCTCGTTGTTGGCGTCGAGAGATCGATCGATCGCGTCCGTACGACGCTGCTGGAACTTCGTTTCGTATTTGGAAAATCGATACGCGAGAAATCGGAAACCTACGCTATCGTATCCTTCTTTTTTTTTTCTTTTTATGGTTTTTTCTGTTTTTTTTTTGTTTTTCTGGTTTATTTTTTCTATGGAAAGATCATCGAGGACGCGTCACCCCGATGGTTCGTCGTGTTTCCTTAAAGCGTCTAACGATAATCAATGTCAATCGCCAACAATGTCAATCTCGCCGACGACCCGGCCGGTTCCATAGCTGCGACAGGAAACGGCCTGGCCCTACGTTTAATAATACCTAACTAACGGGCTAACGTGTGTGTCCTCAAACCGGAATCGTTGATCGCGTACAAAAAACGGACTTAACAGCGAAGTGAAACGTGCGGCCGCAACAAACGACGTCTCTCGAAAAAGGAAAAGCCTATTGGTCGTTGATCGTCATCACATTGATACTGAATCCACGAAGTGTCTCTTCACGATCCATTTACTAGTCCGTGTCTTCGAGCACCGAACCAACGCGATTTCCGAAATCCCTTTCGTTGCTGAGAAGCCCGTGCCTAGTAAAGTAAGCTCGTCGAGGATTCGCGTTTATTCGTGGTACCGGGATTAGGTGTTTTTTTTTTTTTTTTTTTTTTTTTTTTTCTTTTTTTTTGTTCTGTATTTTACTCCTTATTTGTCTATCACTCGTATTTTTTATTTTTTATTTTTATATTTTTTTTTTCGGTCGCAGCAACGAAAGGGATGGAGATTCATCTACGATCCTTTCCTTATCACCTTGTTCCTTCCTTTCTTTCTTTCTTTTTTTTGTATTTTTTCTTTTTAAATAGATTCGAGTAGACTCTTTTTAACTTGATATAAAAAGTGGCGGGGATTTGTATTTCGCGTTAAAATGGCGGAGACAAAGAGTTTCGTGACGCAGATTCAATTCCTTGCACCCTTGATCCGTGTTACTGTACGAGGTCTGTGATATTCTGTCTGTGGGGGGTACCTTTTATTCAAGCTTACGCGATTATCGTATCGAAGATGATATACATTGTTTACAGTTTCTATCGAGACGCTACGGTAACTTTTGTCTAGCTAATTAAAAACGTTTCGCAGAGGAAGATGGATCGGTACACGGGGCAAAAGCGCAAACAACCAATCTCGGATGAAACGGGCTAAACCGTGACGATTTCTAATGATCGAATACAAATCCCGATATTATATACACTAAATTCACTAATCGTATCACATTCGTTTTCGACGTGTTTCCAATTCTCTTCAACGAAACTGTGAACCGCGACTGAATTTTCTCTCGTTTCGCGTTAAGTACCATAACGGGCAAATTTATCTGCACTCAAGATCCGCCGGAAGTTCTTGAATTTTACGCTCAACCTTTTTTCCTTTAACGATCGTTATATATTTAAAATGATCGAATATATTTTTAAAAATATCACCCTTTTTGTTTCTCTGGAAATCAACGCGCGAACGTTGTACCACGATTCGACGAATGAAACAAGCACCCGATCGATCCGGATCTCGCGGAAATCGGATTGGCGTACGCTCGATCGTGGCACGACGGATGATCAGCCAGTGGTATATTCGTCTGGCCGACGAAAGCGAGGAAAGCCGGTAACGGTGCGTAAAAAACGCTTCGAGAGGCTTCACCGCGGCGATGGATTATTATTTAGTTAAGAAGTACGTGTTTACGTATAAAGAGACGCGTCATACAGTGCCGTACAGTACCAAAACGTTTATAATGCGCACATAATGTTACCTCGATTTAACCTCTATCTACGCGCTCGCGCAGGCATCGTGTATGTAAAAGTGTTCCATTTTAGTCGTATTCTTTTAGTCTCGCTGCAGGTGTGTGTATATTCGTGTGTATGTATCCGTGTGCCTGTGTTCCTCGTATTTTTTTTTTTTCCCTTTTATATTTCCACGTGTTGCGTCCGTGAGCCGGCCAGGCCGGTCCAGGGACAAAAGTCTCATCTTTTTCATTTATTTTAATCTTTATATCTACACGCATACATATATATTTATATATACACGTCATATCTATAAATATATATATATGTCTCTCGAACACTTCCATTTTTCATATTTTCATTCTCGCCACGTTTTTCTCTTTTTTTTCGCTTATTTATTTCTTAAATCTTCTCTTTAAGCACAGGGACCGTTGAATATTGGCCGCGCCGCCGGAACCTGCTCGTTTTTCACCCTTTTTAATATGTATATATATTTATGATATATATATGCGTGTGTGTTTATACATATATAGAGTCTAAAGTAGCTCAGAGGGAACTATGCGAACCACTAACGCGAAGTTTAACAGCGACGCGACCAGCCGGACATCGCGCCGACGCCATTTTCTATTCCCTCGTCATCTTCCTTCTTCCCGCGTTTCCTTCTTTTCTCCAAATATTTTTCTTTTCTATTTTCTTCGCTTTCCCCGCGTCGTTCCGTCCTCTCGGTTTCGCTCTTGCCACCGGGCAAGCGTGTGGAAAGCTGGCGAATGATGGCGACGCGATCCGCAGCTCGTCGCGACGCATGCAACCTCGTCGACGCTATTTCCTTCGGTTATTATTCGCTTTTGCACCGTTTTGCGTTTATTTAAATGTATTCGGTTTCTATGTCGCGAGCGACGGCCCGACCAACATTCTTCCTTACACGCCAGTCCCCCGTAATATAGATATATGTATATATTATTATATACGTCGTCCGTGGACCGTCCTGGCGGGGCCCTTAATTAACCACTTTTTTTTGCTTTATTTTAATTAATACAATATATATACTTCTTTATGTATGTATCATCATAACAACCGATATTTCTCAGTTCTCTCTCTCGTTAATTCTATTATCACGCAGCTAATTCTTTCGCTCTCGCGCTCGCTCCTTTCCCCGTTTCTGCAGTTTCTTTATTTTCATCTAAATTTCCCTGTCGCCTCGTTAACTCTTTCTCTCTCATTCGCTCCTACGCACTCGCTTGTCGTCTCTCTCACACGCACGCAATCGTTATTCCACACGCTTCCTCTCTCACGCTCGCACGCTTCGCACACACTCGTTCTCTCTCTTTCTATATATATATATAATATATTTTATATCTGTGTGTATATATATATGTATGTATATATATATACTTCTATATATCTTTCATATATACTTTATGTTGCTTTTTATGTATACTTTATATATAACAATGTTATGTTTATTTAAGGCCCAATACGTTCATTACGAAGGAAATAATCTGCAACAGAAAGGAGACGAATATACGGTTAAACGCTTGTACCTCTTTTGCTCCCTGTCGTAAGCACCGCGAGTATAGAACTATTCAGTCGATAGAGACGAGTCCAAGTGTTTCGTTTTCTTTTTCTTCTTTTCTCTCGATATTTTTTTTTTTT